AGATGTCCTGAATTCAAAACCAGTCCCCTGGATCAGGCTGTTTGGGCAGTTGACCTCGGCACTGAGTCCGCACCAGTCCCAGTCAAATCAGCCTCATCCACGCAGTTGGAAGTCTGGTCCCTTCTCAGCTTTTTTCTTTATCCGCTGCTGCATGGAAACGAGCAACCCTCGGTAGCTGGAGGCTTCCAACTCTGAGTCTGGCTTCTCACATGGATCCAAAGTCCCAGGGAGCTATCTGGTCGCACAAGCAAAGATAACCAAAGCCTAGAAACAATGCAACTGCTGCAAGAGCTTACAATCTAGGTCTAAAATAAAAATTACTTCCTTAAACATCAATCACCACAGCCATCTTTTACTTTACAGTGGCTTAAACAAAACCTAGGAGATTTCTACCTTATTTTATATTTCCTAATTACTTCTTATTTTCTACTGCTTATTTTCTACTTATTTCTCTATATCTATCTCTAACTATGAACTATATAGGTCGGCTGGGCTACCCCTGCCTAAACCTTCCTGGGTTGCAACCCCCGAACTCTGGCCCTGTTCCTCATAACTCAGTCCCTGGTCGGGCACCACAGAGTAAGTGGCCCCAGTGTCAATTAAAAAGGAGATGGGCTCACCTGCCATCACTTCATTACCCGAGGTTCTGGCCTGCTGACGTAAGTCTGTGGAGCCCTCTCAGGGCCTGGGCAGCTTTAGTCTTTGGTGGCCATTCCCAGGAGGTCTGGGAGCTCCAAAGTGGATCCAGAGGGCAGCCTTGCTGCGCTGGTTGATGTCTGATCTGGAGGAGCCAGATTTCAGTCTGATTTCCAGTGGCCTTTCCTTCTGCACCGTGGGCAGGGCCCAGGCGGGGGTCTCGGGTTTGAGCTGGACTTGGCTCAGTGTCTTCCTTGCTGCATCTGAAGCATGGGCCCAATGGAGGCTTAGCCCCTGACTTACCCTTGATTGAAGGACTGGCATTTCATTTGGGGTTCTAGAGAGCAGTGGCTAGGAGCTGAAAGACCTTCATCTGAGCTTCAGCCTTGGCCTGATCTCACCTTTGTTTTTGGATTTGGGTCTCCTCATCTCTATTATTAAAGACCTTAAAGGCCAGGTTAACAAGGTCTTTTTGAGGGGTTTGATGACTTGTGTCTACTTTTTGAAGTTTATGGTGTATGTCGAGGGCTGATTGAGATAGTAAATGGGTGTTCAGAAGAAGGGCTCCCACTGGGGAGGTGGGCTCTAAGGTGGTAAATTTGTGTAAGGCTTCCTTGAGGCAGGAGAAGAAGAGAGCTAGGTTTTTGCTAAGACCCTGAGTGATTTCATTAAGTTTGACATAATTGACCGCATTATCGGCAGCCTTTTTGCGTCCAACAATGAGACAGGCTAGAGTCTGCACCCTGGAGTCCCATCTTGGTAACTGGCCTGATAGTCCCATCTTGGGTCAGTTCGGGGGACCGCATTAGCACCAACTGTGTTGGCCACTGAGTCCTCTCTATGAGGGCA